ATCGATCTCGTGCTCGAGGAAGTCTTTGATGAAAAGCTCCCTTTGGTTGCGGAATACTCGGGTGACGGCATGGATGTGCTGTCGGTTAATGCCCGTATACCATAGTGACCAGAAGAACAGAAGGAACGGACCCACGAGCTTCATAATCTGGGACATTGACGAAAAAGTGATCATGATGGGCTCGTCGATGCAGTCTGGCTGCTGTGATGCGTAGGTGGTGGGCGAAGCATTCTCTTGACGACGCGGAAAGGCACCATCAGAAAAGATGGCCAGCTCCCAAGGGTAACGCACGTGGAATGTCAACCTTCATAGCCAGCTGGACGAGCCAGGAATGTGGCGTTTATCTGTTGTCTTCGGGCTGGCATAGCGTGAATCGACTTCTATGGAAGGGATGGAATTGGTGATAGCGCGCCCGGTAGGCTGCTAGCCTGGCCGCCATTACTATCGTTGACGTTTTTCAACAGCGGCTCGGAGGCCTTGGCTATACCCACTTGGCGAACTCTTCTGATGTTTGCGGCAAGTTGCGACTTGCAGCCAGGCTACCCTCGTGTCATAAGCTAGTCGCCTAGGAGCCTCCCAGTGTGCCAGTGTCCACTAGGGGAGCACGCTACTGTGAGCCCGAGTCGCATCCAAAGCCGCCCTGGCTACAGTAAAGATCACTTGTCGAATACGAGTGCGATCTTGAGATTCCACAATTCTGAAGTCGGAAGCCGCCACGCAGATTTGTAACTTCGCGGGCTATGGATTCCACTCTGCTCGGTTGGTGTTTCGAGATATTGAGGCACTAGCGGTGCACGCTTTTGTCCTGGGATGCCACGACGCCCCTACGTACTTTCTTCCCATCATCATGTGCATCCAGTCGTAATTTCGGATGGCAGATGGCCAAGGTGAGCCATAGCGCCGTTCGTTGTGCGATGGTGCCTGGGCTCCTCGATGAGCACCATCTGATCACGTCGTTGAAGATACCTACCAACTCGAGGTGAAGCAACGTCGACGTGGTCCGGGGATGCACCGTACTGCGGCAGGCCACATTCGGGATCATGCTGCTTGGATCTCGCAGCAGACAACCGAGCGGCACCATGCAGTGCGCTCACAACAAGGAAGCATGCGCGCGCTGATTGGCGACGGCGGACCGTCCCATGATTCCTCAGGGTTGGTGCAACAGTAGGCGGTTGCCAAGTGCCTCCGGGACGGCCGTTTTGTTCGACTCGGGCAGGCATGTAATCGTTTGAACGGCAGCGAACTCTTTAGTCTGGGAGGTGCGATGTCAAACTAGAGTGGGATGGGAGCTGGGGCGTTAAGATTGCCGATGCCATCGAAAGTGGCTGAACTTCAGAGACGGACGAAATCAAACCGGGGGTATCCTGTCATCGAGCGCCAGCATCCCCAAGACTAGGAGGGAGAGAGAACGTGGTAGTCGCATGAATCCCACCGTTCTTGCAGCGATGCATCCTAGCCGACTCAGCTGCAGCGTTGCAGCAAACTTGCTGATCCCAGAGGGGGGCCATCCTATCATTTCTCTGAGCCGAGAGTGGTCAAAGGTGAAAGAAGCCGTGGAGGAGGTTCACGGCAGCCGGCACACTAAAAGGCATGCTTGCAGCTGACATGCCATTCGATCAAGGTCGACGGCGACCAGTTGAGAATATCCACACACTACCAGCACTCACCGCATCGCTGCTCCATCGCCGTGCAGACCGAAGCAGGCATACGCCGATGGCCAATACGCCATGCTGTGCGTAGATTGATTGGTCCGAGATACAGCGATCCGGGAACAGGGAAGCGAGGAAGCAGAGGGACGTAACGCGACGCAAAGGCAGTGCGATTCGTGTTGGCATTGGCATGCTTGTGGAGTCTATCCGGTGTTAGTCTCAGCCAGCACGGTGTTGAAGTGTAGTCTGTACCGAGATGCGAAATAGAATGGCTTGAGCCCGGGAGTAACATTCCACCCCGCCGTCAATGCCAAACCAGAGATCGGACTTCTCTCGTCCGGAGGTAGGTCTTGGTTCATGATGGGGTGGGGAGGGGGGAAAGGTGGGTACCAGATGCAAGACGGCGGCCATTGGACAATTCAAGGACTTGGAAATGCTGTGACCTGTTCATATCACACCCCACGCGCCTGAGCACAACCGCACCGGCCCTCGATCCTGGCATCGCATCTTCATGCCCTCTATCTGGTCCAGACTCTGGAGGTACCTACCTACCTACCTAGGTAGGTAGGTACTGAGGTACTTTTACCTAGTAGTTCTTTCCAGAGGTTAGCTCGGAGGGGTAGCATGGAAAGAGCGTTCGGTGCTGAAGGGCACGGCATGCGGGGATGGGACTTTCCCAATCCAGAACAACCAGGATCTGGTGGTTCAAGGACAAGTCTAGAAAGAGCTTTGATACGATTCCTCCAATCAAAAGACCAGGGAACCGCCACTCGACCCGCATGACTGCATATGACCCACATATCATAACGCGTCACGACGCGTCACGATCACGTCCACAACGCGCCTATTTCCCACTTCACACACCTCATGCTGGATGTTCAGGTTCAGAATTTTCCCACATCACTGCGTCTCCATTTCTCTTCCCCCTCTCTCGTGCACGGAGCGCAGTGAAGTCAGTCTCAGCCGCTGGCCTTTTGCTGGAGCACCCCCACCGATACGCCTTTCTTAGATGAACGTCACCGCCCACAAATGTGATGCCGATGAGTCGCTGTCCGTATCCGTCGCACTCACCTCGACTTTCACCGGCCACATCCAACGCCTCACCTGGGTACTCACCACTGCCATCAACGTGACCCTCCAGCTGTGGCCGCACCCCAACAAGACCACCCTTCGGATTCGCTAGCCCCGAAAACATTACACTCTTTGGAATCTGCTATCAATTACTCACGTTTTTCATTCATCTTGACCATCACCCGTTCTGGGCACTACCAACCGTTGCCCACCCAGACATACAATTTGTGGCTTGTTAGCGACGCAATCGCTGCACGTCCGGACACTGTTCGTCCCAAGACCGACCGTCCGGCGCACAAATAAGCTTGGTAGCTGCAGGCGCAGAAACCAGCCTCCTTCGTTTCTCGGCCCCGGTCGCAAACAACCGAGCGCGAGCCACTGGACAGTACACTCTGTCTGCGGACAGGACGGCTGCCAGCCGCAACAACAATCACGGCAGGGCAAACGCGCCCTACCCGAGAGGGACACAGAGCAAGAAGCTGCACCCGCGTCCAGCTCCGGGCAGCATCGTCTGGTCGCTTTTCTCACCGCCCCGCCAAAGCAAGCCATCTAGTCATCTCAAAACCGACACACCTTGCCACTGCTTGCTCGGGCTCGCAGCCTGTCTTGTCCAGCGGCTTGTTAGGCCGCTCGCTGGATCGGCCAGACTACGATCGACTCCTCCGGTCACGACTCTAGCTTGTTTTCTGCGGCACCTGCTGCATCGCGCGACGACCAAGTAGGGCCAGCAGTCGTGTTGGCGTTGTTGATAGTTTCGTGACAGATCCGGGGGGCCTGCTGTGACTGCTTTGCCTCGGCCAACCCCTGCCCTAGTTCTGCGCGCTTCCCAGACTTCACACGCGTTGTACCTTGCCTTACGCCTGGCGAACGGGCGAACCGACCAACGGGCGACCAGAAGCCCTTGCTTTGCTTTGCTTTCTCCGCTCGCTCGTCCGGACCTCGTCGTTCGCTGCCGCATGGTCCTGTCGTGTCCGTTGACTGGCTACACCACACACAGCACAGCGTGCTCAGAGTGCATGCGCCTACTGCAAACACAACCACCCATCCTTAGGTACCTAGGTAGTTTACGTCGCCAACCAGCCCCCCCCCCTGAAGGTCACTTCTGGAACCCTAGTGAAGAAGAGAGGAGTCTTGCGAAAGCCACGACTTCATCCGGACCCAGTCTCAGAGGTTGACAGCAGACCCCCTCCAGGGCGCTTCCCACACCACGTACACCACGCACCTCACCGCACATCGCATCTTCAGGGTCTTCGTTGCAAAAACAAGACCACGCACGCCCGGCGCTCCACTCTGCTGCTACATGCGCTGGCGAGCTTTCTATCTGGACTGACTTGTCTCGAGGCGCTACTGGCGTGTCCGTCAGTCACAGAACGCTCCACTGTTAGTCGCCTTGGACGGCTCGACTAGGTTCCCTTAGGTTTAGCCGGGGTGGGGGATTCTAGCGTGCTCAACCGCCGTCCGCCGCCCGCTGTACAACAACGCCCCCTCCCCCTTCCCCGGTCACAACCACCACGCCCTGCTGTGACTGCGACTGCCCGGGGGGGGGGTGTTCAAGCGAGCGAGCAGTGTGCTAGGGTTCGTCGGTTCCCCCAACTCTGGTGAGGTACTTTCGGCGTCCAACGGCCTGTCGACTTTTCCCACTGCAACCCTCAGGCACGAGCGCAGGCTCAGGCGCAGGCACAACGTTTTTCTTCTCCCAGTCGTATCCTGCGTCTCGCCCTGTCCCGGCTCTACACAAGGTTCGCGCCACCCGCCTACCGTCGCTGGACCTTGCCATACATACTACACCGGTGTCCGCCTCAACCCAACCCTCTCGGATCTTCCTTCTCCCACCTCTACTCTTCAACCACAGTCGTTCCTTTTCGCAAACATCAGCCGTCCTCCGGTGGTGGGGGTTGCGCTGCCGATTTCGTCCAACAATACCGTCTTCACGAGCCATCCACCACCAGCAAAAATATCGACATCTTTTGTTTGTCCGACCCCTGGCTCTTCGCGACGACCCTTTTCCTTGGTCATTCCCCCGGTATTGCGCTCACGACCCCTCTCCCGATATCTACGACCCTATCCACGAACCTATTTACGACCCCTGAAACGAACCGACGAATACGGCACAGACGACACCGCCGGTTTCTTTTTCTGTATCCATTCGACTATTGTCTTAACGGAAGCGCTGTGGAGTAACCGGACGGTTCTCGAACCCAGCCAAGCCCGCCGCGTACCCGATTCGCATCAGATTGGGCGCATCATACCAAACGTCGCAAGTTGCCTCAGCCGTAGCCGACCAAATCCAAGACTTGTTGTTATTATTATTTCTTCTACATATTGGGCATTTTGCGCCTCACGCTAAAACCTCCGCGCACACCTCTCGCAAGATCGGCATTGGCTTCGGTCGGAGTCTTTGAGGCTTGGAGACCCTACGAGCGTTACTTTCCCAATCATCTGGAGGGACAGAATTCCTGCCTGTCTCACACTTGTCACCGCAAGAGACGAGTGAAAGGATCGCGTCGCCTTTGTCCTTGAGCAAATCACCGTCCTCTGACCCCCAAGTGCGGAACTGCGTTACGATTGGAATCTTGAAGAGGAGGCAATCGCATTCCCAAGGCCTTCTTGTTGCCCGACAAGATGAACCCTCAACATTCCGGAGCGGCGACTCTGCCAAAAGGCTTCCGCTTCCACGATCTGGATCAGCAGAACCCCAAAACGCCGGAGCCTTTTGCCACGAATGAGGAGCTGCAGCCACCCTCTCCGCCGCGTCCTCGGCTGAGATTGAAAAGACGCGTCGCATCCAACCTCGCCGCCCCTACCTCCCAGTTTCTCGCGTCGGTCGCTGCTGCCGATGTGCCAATCCCCAGCATCGAAGAGCCAGAGTCCTCTGGCGCAAACAAGCAGATCTCCAGCATGACATACCCAGTCATCCACAACCTCGGGGACCTGGATGGCCTTGGGTTTCAGAAGCTTCGCGGCAGACGTTTTTCTCCACCCAGAACGCCAGCACCCGGCGCCGCGCCTTCGCTTTCGCCTCAACGCTATCCCGACTGGTCCATCGACTCTGCCTTCAGTAGCGGCGAGTCAACGCCGGAGTTCGAGTCCAGCCGGCCATCCACTGCACGGTCCACCCAAACCAGCGCGTCTATCTTCAGCCGCTTCTCCCTAACGTCTGATGATCTGGAGTGCATCAGTCCCGAGACTGACGCATCGGACCACGTTAAGCAATCGTTCTTTGACAGTTTTGATGAGCCTGCCGACCCTCCTCCACCCAAGCCTAAGTCGAGGAGGCGGAAGGCTCCTTGGACAAAGGCTATGAGCGATCATCTCTGGGCTACCTATCTCACGTATCTGCAAGACCCCAAGGTCACGCCATTCCGCACCGGCAAAAGCTGCATCCCTCCCCACGGCGTGTGCCTCCGTGTGGCAAGGGAAGCGAAGAGGAGTTGGCGAGGTCCCAAAGGCGGAAGAAAGTCGCTGAACCCAAAGAGCGGGAGCAACACGCCAACCGTCGAGGCTTGCACCTTTCTCCAGTGGCCACATACTTGTGCGGCCACCCGAGCGCACCTGAGGGAGCTGTGTAAGTTGAAAGCGGCTTCGTCGTCGGCCCGGACATCCCAGTTTCTCGCCAACAGCCCGACGCCTTTCGGCAGGACGGCGGCAAGGTTCTGGAACCGCAGGTCCACTCCGGCCCGGTCCCCTTCCGTCTTCGCGGCGCATGACATGTCCATGTCCCTCACCCTTAGCACTTCAGAAGCTATGCAGCCTCAAGGTCCTCTGGCACAGCTCACAAAGTCGAGCCCCGAACTTGCCCAGGAGCCCATGACGGAACCGTTCCCTCTACTACTACCAGTAGAGGCCGACAAGCTGGACATTCCTCTGGGCGAACGCCCGCGGCTCGGGTCGCCGTTCATGGCCAAGAGCTATGGGCCCAGCTCGACTGGCGCGTTGGCTGCTGCCGCGTCCTCGATGCCGCAAAGGCAGAATCAGAGCCTCGGCCGCAGACGCACTCTCCAGTCGCCGGCGCGCCTGACGAGAAGCCGGTCCAATACGCAGAAGCGCGTCGGGAGACCCAGACAGGGCTCGCATGAGCCAAGAAAGACGAAGCGGCCCAGTCTTGTCTCCGATCTTTGGACCGAGCCCATGCCCTCTGAAGCCCTACCCAAGACACCACTTGAACCAGATGTTGAGTTTAGCTCGACAGACAACCATTCGCGCGATGACCTCTTCGTGCCTCGGACAAATCTCGCTGGGCTCTTTACGGCACCCATGCGGATACCCTCCTCCCGATCCCAGCTGTCGGATTCATCCGATCCGTTCTTGGCCCCGCCCAATGCGCCGCCTCAAAGACTGGGATCGCCCTTTCCCGGGTCCAACACCAGCTTTTCTTTTCCAAACCGGTTCACGCAGCCAGAGGGGTTTGATCACGGTACCATCCGACCCTTTGCGACAGTTCAACAGTCGGGTGACGGCGGCTCGGCCCCTCCCCGCAACCTGGCTGACCGATTGGCCTACATTGACGAACGTCTTCGGGACTTGAGACGCCGTGACACCAACCGACGCCGATCCGAATCCCCGTTTCAGTGAATGCCTTTCTTTTTATTCTCTTTGTACATGCTGCTACGCCCATTATTGTCTCACGACTTATGAGTTCATGCAAGTCACCTGCCCGATACCCACGTGGCTTGACACCCGCAAGGACATGCCCCTCGACTGGTACATAGACGACAGCACGCTTTGATGACGATCCCCGACATTGTTTTCCTTGCTTCACTTCTTTCGAACACATTTGCTTCACATATCGAGAGGAGGAGACACTCCCAGCTTGGAGGACTAATACCCGCTATGGTGTGCGAAATGGACGATATTTCCTTTGTTGCCCTTTTTCATGGCTGTCGATTCGTCGCAGCCCGGCTTCTTGCTACGAGAACCATGACGACGGAGATGATGAAACGACATTCGACGAGAAGGTCTGATATATTATGTATCTACCGGCGACCGGGCCCTGACTGGGGTTCCGGGACATTGATTGAAAAAGCTCTTTGAAGAGAGGGGACTTGAATGGGACAGAACGTAGGAGAGAGGGAACCATCGGTGTGAAGCAGAAGACAGGACTATCGCTTTTTAGACGAATGGATATGACTCTTGGAAAAATTCGCGTTTCGGCACAACTGCTCTTCCGTGAGACGCACTTGACGTCAGTCGACGCGGGTCCTTGCCGCCAAATGTCTGGTTTCGTCGCGTCGTGCCGTCCTCCCATGAGAGCTGACTGACGCACATGTGGCTTCGCCCGACACGCGAGAAAGCATGAGGGAAAATCCTTCTGGTGACGACGAACCGCGTCTGAACCGCGTCCGACACGCGCCAATTCGCTAGTCTTTGCATATAGTGATTCGACGCGGGGAGGGGGGGGGGGCAGCGGCCAAGTAAGGGAGGCTGGACCTATCACGGCGAGGAGCGAAGGCGCGGGACGCGGCGACGGACGGCTGGCGTTGCGTTACGTAACGTAAGACGAGGACGGCCACGTCGGACGCGAGCAGCCGATGGGGTGCATATCAAAGCCCGGAGGAGAGAGGCAAGGGAGGAGGGGGGTCAGATCAGACAAGTGCATCGTCAGAGACGGTCAGCGTCCGCCTCGAGTTCGTTCCCGAGATATACTCTGTGGAGGAGTCACGAAGAAAGAAAAAAAAAGAAAAAAAAGGACTCGGTCTGCGTTGTCTAAGGTGCCGCCTCGAGCTTCGAGCAGATGCTGGACGTGGGGTAGAGATGAACTTGGGGAATGTAATGTGATTGGGGGGGGGGACGGAAGACGCAGATTGGGAGGGGTGATGCTCATATGAGGAAAGCCGGCTGGGGCGAAAGTCCGAGGTCGTTTTGAGTCGATGGTCACGCCGCGTGATGAGGTGAGGCCGGGGGGGGAGCATCTCTCTCTCTCTCTCTCTCTCTCTCTCTCTCTCTCTCTCTCTCTCGCATGCCCGCAACTCGGCCGAGATGTCATTCCGACGATGTGGTTTTTTTTTTTTTTTTTTTTGCTTTGACAATCATCGGAGCAACGGGGTCTCGTCTCTTGAGGGGAGAGGATGGTGTGTGTGTGTGTGTGTGTGTCTTAAGATGGTATGTCAGCTCAGGAACGAATCGGACCCCCGCTGATCTCCGGATCGTATTTACCCTTTCTTGTCGTAGCCATCGTATCAGTCCGGGGCTGCGGCTCATCTTAATATCCCACGTGGTTCACGCCTCTTTCTAAATTAATTTTCATTCTAGTTTTTTTTTAGTCTCTCTCTCCCTCCCCCTCCGCCGACGGGATTTGTACCTGGTTCGTTTAGCAGGCTCATGTGGCGCGTTCAGCTCCCGATGAGGTAAAGGTTCTCCCCCCCAATCTCTGGCTCGGTGCGGGACGGTGGCCGGGCGGAGGTGGAAGGAAAACCGCCAGGAATTGCGGTGGGATTTCACGGCGGTTCGGGAAACCGGGCGGCCCGATATCAGTTCCAGAGCTCAAGGTCCCGTTATTTCTCGCCTGCTCTTTTCCCGACATCATGGGCGATTTCCCCTACAGAAATTGGAATGAAATGAGATAAAAATTTCCCCCTCCCACCTGCCCTGAACGTCTCGAAAGGGCAATGGCACCGGGGGGCGTGGTTTAAGCTTCGAGGCCGGGACGCCGCCGCCGCCGCCACGAGACGGGGCGAGACCCGCGGCCCACGGCTACCGGACACGCACGCCGGCGTCGGTCCTTGCAATGTGCAAATGATTGTGGTATGTTGATTATTTCAGGACCCGATGGGGGGGAGGTATATTAGTCAATCCGTGCGTGTGTGCGTGTTTTTGTTCATTTGGTCGTCGGGTCCTTCATGGTATCGTATTGTCTCGCTGGGCAAAAAATATTGTTTAGCTGTTCCACGGGCACGCTGGGACCAAGAGGCCCCTCCTCCCCCTGTGTCCTGTCCGAGCGCCCTTCCCCCCCAGACTTGAAATCTACAGGGTTAGCGAAGTGGCCGTATTCTGACAGCGCTGATCTCTCATAGTGGTAGGAAGAATACCTCCAGCGGGTTCAATCCTTTGAGGTGGGGGAGGGTCGCTCTCGATTGGTGCCAGCGATGTACGAATGCGTGCCTTCGATCCTCCGGGGCCGGGCCAATGGGACTTGGCAGCATATCAGGTTGGGCCGTTCCTCCTTCCGGGGGCCCGGAGAAGGGGGGGGGGGGGGGGAGGGTTCCTCAGCCACTACGTAGCAGGCTCCCTTTCGCCCGGCTTTGGTGGGGAGAAGGGGAGCCAGGGAGGGGGAGAGACTCCCAAGAGCGAACTGAACCTGCACATTCATTCGTATTGACGTTTGACACTGACATTGACACTGATATTTGGCGGGGAAAGGGGACGGATTGTCTCTGTCTTCTGTCGCCCCTTGCAGCACAGCGCAGCAGCGCGACTGGGCGCGGACCGATCGTCAGACCGGCTGCGTCACGCTTGTTCGGATCCGTCGTCCAACCTACGTCTCTGCGCCCCCCGGTGATGGGGAATCCAGAGCCGGCACTTTGGAGAGGAGCGGGGAGGAGGATGAGACAAATGTCGACGTAAGACGTGAGGTAGATGGATAGAACGGGGAAGTCTTAGTCCCCCTCCTCTCCCTCTTTCGCCGCAAGCGTTGGTATAGTAGGTAGGTATCGGATCCCGAGGGAGCCGGCCGAGTTTGTAGTGCCCCCCCCCCCCCCCCCACCCTTTCTCTCGACCACACGGCGCCTTCTGGAGATGGGAGACATCGTTGCCTTCGGTCCCTGATCTCATCTCTCTTTCTTCCCTCGGCGAAGGCCGGCGGACGGACGGGGGGGCCAGAAGACGATACGAAAATAAAACAACACCAAGGCTTATTTTAGATGATCCGAGCGGTCCTGCATCATAGGGGGGGGGGGGGGGGAGGGGAGGGCGGGATGAGAGAGAAGGGTTCGCCTTCTTGGTCCCCCCCCCCCCCGTTTGCGCTACGCCCGATTGTCTCAACTAGCCCTATGAGAGCACAAGAGCTCATTTCTCCTTTGGGGAGAGATGAGAGTGGTCTGGGCCCTTCCCCGAGGGCTATTATTCAAAGTCGCTCCGCAACATCCGAGAAGCAAGTCCGCGTTGCGCAATGTGCAGGGGGGGCGTTGCGGTCCCTTCTTCCTTTTCTTCTGCCTCTGCTCTTTTTTTTTTTTTTTTGTCCCGCTAAGACCGTGGGAATAGGGGGAAGAACCTCGATCGTGAGACCGGTCTCCGACTTGGCCGCCGCTGCCGCCGCCGCCGCCTCGACCGCGTTTCCTTTTCATTGGACCTCTAAGACGAAGAGGAGGGAAGCAATACCGGGAGAACGCAAAGGTTGGTTTCCGGCACTAGATGACAACAAGATGGCGCGGCGGGGCGCCGACACCAAACCAGACGGAGTGCCTTTACGCGGGTGTCAGTCGATGCCGTCCGTCCCCTCCGAGGAGCAGTCGGGGGTCCCCCATCATGACGATGTCGATGCCGAGCTAAGGGGAAAACCCGGCAAAAGCCAAGTCGCACACCCAATTTAGCAGCATCCCGTTTGGTTCGAGTAGATCTGCCACCCCTTCTTCTTATCCTTCTCCTCTTCTCTTGCGCCCGTCAAGCCGGGGTGCGTACGGCAGAGGCTGCGCACCGAAGAGAGACACGGGGCGTCCCCAGGGCTGAGCCTGTCTTCCTGTGTCTCCTCCCCCAATTTTGCCTGTGGGATCCGAAGACGCACCGCCGCCGAGTATCCTTACCGGTGAGAATCAGTTTCTCCCCAGTCATGTCGAACCTTTTTTGTGCTCCCGGATCGAAACTGCGGTAGACCCGGTCTGTCATGGCTCATCTTCGTACAGCAAAACCGAAACCAAAACCCAAGGAGGAACCCAAAATAAATAAATATGTAGAATCCAAAACCGAGCTAGACGCGCAGCAAATCACCGGCACGGGACCCCGGACCTCATGCCTAGACCAAATGAGGGGAGGGGGTTACTAGGTAGTGTGCCGTGTAGCCTGTGGGCATGTGAGATGGGACGATGGACAAGATGGAGGAAACAACAGGACCCGAGAAAGCTCACGACCCAAGGCCCCCTAAAGCATTCAGCCCGGGCCACGTACCCCGGTGGAAAGAAACAATAGTCCCCTTAGCTACCTGCCAGGTGCCCGCCTACCCCAACCCTATCTCCAACTGTCTGCTTGCAAGAGGGTGAGTGAGAGAGAGCTCCACGGTCCGAGTCTCTCCACCTCATCGGGCTACCAGACGCCGCTTCGGCACGGCAACAAACCTTGGCTTTTGAATTTTTGTTTTCGGGGGGATTCCCTTTGGGCACCAGCAAGGGGGCCGTAGAACCAAAGGGCTAAGCAACCCCGAAATGGTCCAAGACAAGAAGAACAAACAAGGAAAACAGGATCTAGGTAAGGTGAGGTAAGGTAAGCAGCAGGCCTCCCCAAGGGATCTCGTAGGGGGAGAGGGTATTGGTGCTCCCCCCCCCCCCTTCCAAGAGAGGTCAGCCCGCCTAAAGGCCAAAGCGGTATCAACCGGGTGTCACAGGCCACACGCCCAACTCACATATGCACGCAGAACACCTAGACCTACTTACGACCTAGGTGGGTTAGGTACCCGACACACACCAGCTGAGAGCTGAAGAGCTAGCTAGCTGTACCGAACGACGCTTCCCCAGCGCAGCAAGGAGGGGAGGGGGGCCCTTCGTTCTCTCTCTCTCTCACTTGTATTATTGTATTCTATCGTCCGCTCTCGTACCGTACCACACACACACACACGCATACACAAAGTTACAACACACCACACACACACACATATGCGCGCCCGCGCGCACCGGGCGTCTCATTCAAGGTCAGACCAAAGGTCCTTCTTCGCCCGGCTTTGCTTACCGTTCCTTATTCCTTCTAAACCAACACTCCCCCCCCAACCAAAAAAGAGAATGGTATATTATCGTGAGGAACCGCACCCACCTTTTTAACTATTTGCCTCTTATTTTCCCCTCCTCTCGCCTTCGTCTCCGTCTCCGTCTCCGTCCCCTCCTGTTCGCCTCGCTTACCGACGACGCCGAAGGAAACCCCAGTCTCGTGCTTCCGTGCTACATACAGCGTCGGGTCCCCATCTTAATACCCCCCCACTCTCTCGCTGCGAGACCTTCCCGTCCTACCTATCTAGGACTCCAACAGCAGCTCTTGTCGGGAAAAAGGGGAAGCCATCACGGCGTCATCATCGCTTTGTATAAGAGAGAAAAGACGCAAGTCGAGGTGTTCCGACAACAACCGGATGTCTTAGCGTTGTATTTGGGGGGCGGGCAGCGACAATAACCGGCCATCCTCCCCTGGGGGTATCTGAACTATATACAATATCGAAGAAGAACAAAAACAAAGAAGAAAGAAAGAAAGAGAAAGAATGGCTCGTCTGAGCTTCGTCATCATCCATGTCCTCCTATCCCTCGCCGCGTCGGCCGCCGCCGTGCCCTCTGACGAACGGCAACTGTCCAGGACCGACTGCTCCGCCATCCAGGCCCCGGCCGCCCTGGCCTGGCTCCTGCAGGATCAACCCTTTGAGCAAGAGGACCCGTCCGCCTTCTTCTACGTCAACCAAGACATTGACGCCTCTGGTAAGGACTCGCGCATACGCAAACCCTCGGCAGCTTGCCTGCCTACCCTTTCCCTTCTATCTCTATCTATCCCTATCCCTCTCTCCCCTTTTTTTTTCCCTTTGACAAATGAAATGGAGTGCTGAAAAGACGTGTTGTAGGAAACAAAGCGAACAGGGTCGCGCAGCTCGTCACCTTTCGCGGCGTCCAGGACCGGGAACCGACCGACTGCAGGCTCCTCTTCGCCATGCCCGAGGACGCCGAGAGCTGGGAGCTGATCCAGCGCGAGGGCGGCCCCACGATGCGCGTGTTCCGCGTCCCGGGCGATGACGACGACGCCGTCCAGCAAAAGACGAATCTCCTCGGCGCCTTCCAGGTCCGGCCGGGCACGCAAGCCATCCACCTCGGCCGGTGCGACGGCGGCGGCAGCTTCGTCTTCGAGCTGGCCAACGCCGGCCGGAGCCGCGTCGCGTTCCGCCAGGCGTCCAAGTCCGACGACGGCTTCGGCGTCTTCATGGCCACCGGATGCCCCATCCCCAGGAGGACCGTGTCAGAGGACCTCTGAGACGAGAAGGGCAGCCGAAGTACGAGCCAGAAGAAAAAAAAAAAAGAATGAAAATAGAATCCGGGGAGATTTCGGTTGTTGGTGTGGTTGTGGATGCTTCGCTTTTTTTTTTTTTTTTTTTTTTTTTGGTGTTTGGTGGTTATGTTGGCCGAACTAGGTGGGCATATTCCCCCACCGGTAAAAGAAAGAAGAAGAAAACAAAAGGTCGACGACACCTCAACTCACTCAGAATACCTGTCCTGCGTGAGCCATTCTCATGTGGTGCAGCAGCTGCGGCGCGTCGCGGCCGTCGTGGTGGTGGTGGCGGCTCGGCGTCGGTGCGAGCTCCATGACCAGCGGCACCAGGAGGAAGTTATCTAGCTCCCTGCTGGCCGTGGTGTGGGGGCACCTGCGCTCGCCGACGGCCGCGCGGTGGCTGTGGAACGAGCATTGCCTGAAGCCGAACTGCCTCTCCTCGTTGCGGAGCTTGTTGGCCGGGATCCGCAGCTGCGGGTTCTTGATGCGCGTGTCGAGCTTGCTCGACTTCATCTTGCGCAGGTGCGACGTGTACTCGTCGGCGAAGTCGGGGAACCGCTCAAACATTTCCCGGAACCGCTCGAGCCCGCCCTCCTCCCTCATCGACGAGGGCCCCCCAGCGATGGACCAGGCGACCATGGCCACCGTCCACCGCCGGAGCCGAATCGACGTCTCGGCGTCGCACTGCTCGTACACGAACTGGACGAACCGCGGGGTGACGTCCCAGTCGCAGCGCAGGTAAACGTCCTGCAGACCGTCCATGGCCAGGTCCTGCAGGTGGTGCATGCCGAGCCCGGCGGCGAAGATGTGCAGGCGGACTAGCGCCCAGTGCAAACGCTGGCAGGGAGCGCCCGGGGAGTCGCTGACGAGGGTGATCTTGTCGTCGAGGTGTCGTCGGAAGCCGTCGGGCTGGTGGAGCCAGACGACGAAGAGCTCGAACATGGAGGCCGACTCGTCCGGGAGGTGGATGGTCGACTTTTGCTGCGGCAGCCATACGGGCACCGGCGTCTGGTTGGACGACACCTTGACGATGCCGGCCGGTTTGGCGTCCAGCTTGTTCTCGAAGAAGGGGGCGGCGTTGCTGAGCTTCCGCTTGTCGACCCGAAACTCCTTCGTCTTCTCTCCGCGGCCGACGATCACGCGAGCGAGGTTGTCATTGTCGTGTGATGATCTGAAAGAGAGGGAGGCATGGTCAGGCCTCTCGTCCAAGATTGTGTTTCCCAGAAGGGGGTGAACTTACACGGCAGATCCCGAAGGCTTCTGGAAGATGGCCTGTGGTCTAGCCATGGGAGCCATTGTGAAAATAGTGTGTGTTCCAGCACGTGGGTATATGAGCCAGCTCTGTTGTTTACGGAATAAAGCAGATAGTAGTCACACCAAGAGAACCCCGGATCCAAGGATACCGAAGAAGAACAAGAATACAAAAAAATATATATCACAGATGAGAGGGCCGTCGAGCGCGTTTACTGCAAATCACTCTCCCAGAGAGCTTGAGAAAGGGAGGAAAGGGAGAGGTGTCGGAACCAGAGGAGGCTTCCCGTTATGAATTGCTTCAAGCCTCCCCGAGTGCGACTCCAGCAGGGCAGAGCTGCGGCGGGCATGGGGGGGGCGCCCATTGTACGCCGCTAACACGAAGTCCCCAATGTTGCCTGCCAAGCACAGTAGGTGAATAAGCTTATACGGGACACGAGATGTTAAGCCAGTTTCAGAAATGAGGGTAATGATGCACGCTTGTGCATGGTACCAGCCCGGAGGGGGCCTTTGCTGGGGCTTGTCGGGAGCTGCTGCTGGGACTGTTCGCTGTGGGCATCGTCAGCTTAACAGACGGCTGCTATGGGGGACAACGATTCGCGTCGTCAAAGGCGAGATGATGTCGCTTGGGGGGGTGGGCAGGGGTGGTGGTTTCAAAACGTCATGTCAAACGCACTGAGTGCAGTGGTGTGGGAATCGTGCCGCGCGACGAGCTCCTCAACACCTCAGGTACCAGGGGTCGTTGGCTGCGATATTGCGGGCCATGGGTCGCAGCAGAAGCTTGGGGGGGGGGGCAGCTTAAATGTGGCTGATATAGGGCAGGGGTACCAGCTGTGCGGGTGTACTTCGTGGTGTGTTCGTGCCAGCTCTTGATGATCCCGACGGCTGGGCCCTGCCAGGAGAGGCCTTGCCTGTGCAGCGATCTACTGCTTCACCGGGGCCCAGAATCGCAATCGATGGTTGAGCGAGATGTCTGTTCCTCGTTTTTCTGGGAAGCCAATTCGACGCGTACCGGACTTTCTGGCACTCCACACACACAGCGACTCAAACAACGGTACGCTAATCTCCTATTTTAAGTGATAATGCAAGATAAAAAAACGGTCAATGGGGTTCCAGCTAGGCGAGCACGTTGCGCGGAAACAAAATGTGTCTTGGTTGGGGATCGTCGTTTCCCGCCGTCGGTTTGTGACAGATGGAGACAAGCTAGGGAACGCCGCGGTAACACAATGTTTGGGGGTGCCACAGTTCCGGGTTATATCTCGGGGGAAGTCGCACTGGCGGGCCCGTCGTCGTCGAGGTTGTCCTTTGACTTTCCCGGCATCGCCGAGTGATCATGTGGCTGACGATGCGACGGGAAAAAAGTCATTGTATACGGAGGCGTCTTGATGCTCATTTAGGAGTTTAGGGCCCAATGCTCGACACTCACTGTTCGACACTCACTGCTCGACGCTCACTGCTCGACACTCACTGCTCGACACTCACTGCTCGACACTCACTGCTCGACACTCACTATTCGACACTCACTATTCGACACTCACTGCTCGACGCCCAATGCCCGAGGTTCAGTGCTCGGCGCCTAGCAGCATTGGCTGCCACCCTCGAATGCGTTGAGAGCTCGACAGCTGCGCCGCCGCGTTGTCCGTCGCGCGACGTTGCGTTCCGTCCGATGCTGCTTGGATCGTCGGGGCAGTGCAGTGCAGCCCGCTTGGAAGATCCCGAAGCTCGGTGGGATGAAAGACGGGATGTTAATGGCTGGGGAGCTATATCGACATGTCGCGACCATGTTCAGTCGGGTTTCAGCCGTCAGGTCGATCGGGGGGGGGGGGGAGCTGGAAGGTGGCGAGGTGGTAGGAAAATGTGAAGGCCCGTATGCGTGTACGTATTCGAAGTTGCGCACTCTCAGACTTGAAACCGAGGCCTCGACCTGGCGGGGCCAACGAGGCTAGGTAATCCGTGTCCCCAAAGGATAAAAAATAAAAATAAAATATAAAAAAAGAAGTCTAAAACGGCGCGCTGGAAAGGCGGGCGGGGCTCAGGAGGATGCGCGCACGGAGCGTCTGGTGGCCATTCCTCTTTACAGCACCCATGGTCCTTCTCGACCTGCAATATCGGCGCCTGCTGGCTCCGATGTACGGTGATGGAGACTGGCAAGCAGGTGGAGTTGCTGTTGTTGTTGGAGCCTTGTGAGTGGAAAACTTGAGCTTCGAGAAACGAGCCCCATTTCAAGGGAAAGAACCGGGGGGCGGGGCCCTTCTTCGCTGGTTCTGCGCGCATTTTCCCTTTTTTTTTTTTTTTTTTTTTTTTCATGCTTCAGCATGAATGCCAATAATGCTTGCCCCATCTCCCATTGATCCAGACCCCGGTTGTGACGGGTCCGGGCCCTGGACTGTGGGACATTTTCCAGCCGATCACGCCAACGATTGCCCCAAGAACAAAAATACCGCCCTGCTTCGGGACATGTTGTATTATCACGCGAGGGGGGGCACCGATGGTGATGTCGAAAACAGTGCGACGTCGAGAAACTTTCTCAACGATGAATCTAGCGACGCGCAGTGTTCGAGACCGTCATGGTGCCATCCGTCAGGAGGTACCAAGACAGAGCAATGAGCGGTGACAGTTGGCGGATAGGGCCATGATTGGGTATCGTCGATGAGGAAACAAGGGAGAAGGCTGCATAGGACGCTTGGAGGTGGCCCTCCTCAGGCTGCTCTCTCTGGCTGCAATCCCATCATCGTCTCGGGTGAACGACACGATGTCATCGTCTCCAATTGAGGGAGGCAAGAAGAGCGTGAGGAGGGTAAGACATTGCTGACCGCTATAGTCAGCGGCGGCGGCGGCAGCGGCAGCAGCAATATCACAACACGACATGGATCATTTCCTTAACAAAGCCTGACCATTGTGACAGCTCAGACAGGCTAGCAAAACGGCGGAGGTGGGGGGTCGTTGAGCTCGGCAGCGCGCTCGAGTAAGGGAGGTGATCGGCAAGTGAGATACAGTTGGGTAGCTCTGGATAACGCCCCCAAATCGGATGGTTCGGTGGGAAAATATTGGTCACAGAAACCCTTCTTACGTGGTAGGTGAGATACTCAAAGTTTCCCTTGGCAGAACTCTACCATCGTGATAAGAATACCATTCTGTGAACATAAAACAGGACCGAAACCTAGGCAACTCCTCTTTCCCTATGCAGTATACAAAGCCTCATAGGGTTTTCATGATAATGGCTGCTACAAGTTTAGCACATTTTCGGAGGCTCTCAATTGGAAGACGGGGTACATGAGTCAGCTAGACTTGTAATCACCTAGTTGCGCTAGTCGAAAGGTCACGTGGTATCCAGGTTATAAGTTGTCGCCCTAGGTACCTACCTACCTACCTGTATTAGGGAAACCACCTTGGATACGTATCTCAGTACAATCACATTGCCCATCCCGCCTCAAGTGCACGGACGACGATGATGAGATCTCGGTAGAATCAGCATTTTCAATCTCGAGGTGGAGGATGAACGAGAGAGGTAGCAACGGTCCGGACAAGCTCTGTACCTGAGTCCGGTTGACTTACATCTTGACTCGGACGACGAGGCTAAAGAACTTGAGGGAGAGAGGGAAAAAAAGAAAGGGAAAAAAAGGGGAAAAAAAGGGAAAAAAATAAACCCCCCATAGAAACACAGAAAGGATAAAAGAGAGGAAAGCGCGTTCCCTGACCGCGCTCACCGCCCTTCCATATCAAGGCAGGCTGTCCCCTGCGTTCCTGCCGCTCTATGAGCCAATAGGAAGCTGGCTTCCCCTCCGTGCTAAGTTCGGGCTCCCGTCTATAGTTTGACTTTTATTCTTATTTTTTGTACGCGATGTGG